GGCTCCGGCAGCGGCTCTCCCTCCTCCTCCAGCTCTGGCGAGTCCGGAGGCAGCCCGATAGCAATTTGGGCGGCATGCCTTGCCTGGATCTCCTCAGCAATCTGCCTCCGGCGCTCCGGCGTGAGCATAGTGTACGTGGTGATCAGTCGTCTGACCATGGCAATGCCAGAGAGAGTGGGAGAGCGGGGGAGAGGAACCGGACGGGCTCGGGTGGCGGCGCAGAGAGGAAGGAGGTGGGTGGGATGCCGGCCGGCTTAAATAGCCGACTTTGGCCTGCCGGTCAGTCCGGGCATTTGAGGCGCCCGTCTGGGTCAGATTTTCATGACTGGTCAGTGATCATACAAGACGCCCGAGCGTTTGAGGATGGTTTGGGGCACCCGACTATAGATGCTCTAAAAGGACAACCTTCACTCCCTTCTTGCTGCCCACAACATCCATTTCCTTTCCCGCTGCTCACAACGTCCACTATCACCTTCGGCGGACTGGTATTGTTCTAAAAGGAGGAGCGGATCGGAGGAGGAGAAGCGTTGGAATAATTACATCAACCATTTTGGTAGACATAAGGATTTTCGCAAGGATTATCGTATGTCTCCTCAAAATGGTTAGCATAATCTATACAATTAGGTGGGAAGAAAACGATAACTCGATGGCGAGATGTGATGTGTGTGGAGTGAAATCGTCGTTGTGCTTGAAACTGTGAGAAGCAAAGAATCCATGTGGAACATGGATTCATGGCCCTCGGAATGGAGTTACCGTCCACGCAATCAGCACCCAAAGCTGAAATTGCCGCTAGAAACGTGTCGCCGCCGCCGAAATCGCCCCCAGAACTGGCATCCCATCGGAATCATCCTCGCCCTTGCTGCCGTGCTTGTAGTCATCCTAGCCCTCATCCTGTGCTCGGGTTAACTGAATGCCGTTGGTGTAACTAATTATATGTGTATTGTAGATTAAGAAAACAAATATGTCCCACTGACAAGTGGGTCCCACGATACGAAGGTGGTCATTATGGAGACTGTGACTTTGCACATCACCTCAACAACCTCCATACCCATATGGAGCGTGCTCCATATGCAAATGGAGACCGCCAACATAGCGACTTTGCTAGAGCTTCTCTAACATCATCTTTATTGCAATGTAAGCTTATTTTATTAATACAAGTCTCCTTTCGACCAAGGCATGCTTAGAGGCACAACAGGAGCTGTACTTAGAGATGACAAATGAAGATTCATTGTTAGAGAGAATTGGTGTGCAGATGTTTTAACAGCAGAAGCCATGGCACTACGATTTGGCATATTACTTGCACAAAAGGCAGGAAGCAACCATATTGTTGTTAACTCCGACAATATGAAAGTAATTGACACAATGAAGAATAGAGGACATTCATCGGGAGCGGCGGCTCCTGTGTTTGATGATTGTTATTTTATGGCTTGTGATTTCCCGTCAATTAGATTTGAACATTGTAATAGAAAGGCAAATAAAGTAGCTCATGAAATTGCTAGATTAGCTAAAAATTTTAAGAGAAGGGATTGGTTCGAGGAACCTATCAATGATATTGTAAATCCTATAGACGATGTACCATTATTTCTAATAAATAAAGAGGATGTTTTACTTAAAAAAAAGTCTCCTTAGTTTTTTTAACCATGCAAGAGGCATGCATGTGTTATATAAAAGATTCAGTTGTTCAGCTATTTATGAGGAGTGCGCTTTTATTTGTCGTAATTTTGCTTCAGTTTGTTTTCAACACTGCCCTAGGGAAGCCAATATGGCGGCTGATATGTTGGCTACTATGTCGGAGGACTCGCGAACCATTGTATGGCAGTCCGAGCCTCCGGGTTTTTTGTTAGACATTTTGTCAGAAGATGTAGCCTTTTTTGCTCATGAAATATAAACCGACATGATGGCATTTCCCTCAAAAAACCTTTTTCTGTTTTAAAGCTAAGTAAAATTGTTCTTAAACTTTGCTAACAAGCGTTTTTATTTTCTAATGTTGTAATAACAGTTTTCTCCAATGTACTTTCCTACTTTATTTTGAATGTTTCTACTGCATTATGTGCATGTACTTTCCTCTCTTTTTTAACGTTTCTGTTGCATTATGTACATCTTCACTTTTGCTGGCTAAGAAACTTATAAACATGTACTGAATGTCAAGTAACTCCTGGGTTTTGTGATTAGAACATCAGCATTAGGGGAGAGGGGCGGACACTACCCATTTTTTTGAATAAACAACGCTTTTAATTGCTTATAAAGTACTAGTAAGGAAATATAAACAGTACACAACCGGCCGGCATCTACACGATTGGGATACACAAAACCAATATCAACGCACATACATCAAGGATCACGCTGGTAAAGGGCAAAGATATACAAGATGGCTAAACGGATTGAATGAAAAACAAAAAGAAAGAGAGAAAAGGTAGAGCCTGTTGTTTTTTTTTAGACAAAAACCGCCGGCATTGCCTCGCGGTGGCCGGCGATGGCGTCGATCCTCGTTTTCCTCGGCACCTCGCTGGAATCGGCAGGAGGAAGGGTTTGGGGAATGTTGAGGTCATCACCTCAGCACAAGCCAGACACACGTTTATACGGGTGGTGCCAAGGAAACCATGCCAAAGCCGAAGTTACATTCGTTGCCCCGATCATGGCACGTAGAACGAGGTTTCGGCTCCCCCCTTTTCTCTTCACGAGCCGAGATCAACAAATTCCAACACTGGAAAGTCGAGACTTTCTCCGTATGCTCTTTCCCACGAGGCCATGATGAGCTTTCCGGCGACGAGGCAGTAGTACGACCCACTCCGACTCCGACCAAATCATGGCCTAATCACACGCAAATCCGCAACCTTCCAAGCCCTCCCATCAATCAAAAATCATCCTATATAGCACCCTCGCCACCGGCTCACCGCAACACGCCTCCCCCAGTCCCACTCCGTTTCCCGAGCACACACGCAGCATCATTCACTCACTCACAGGAGCGCTGGCTGGCTAGCTAGCTCCCTTCGCTTCACGTGTCCGTCTCCATCCCCGGCCACCAACCGTCGCCAACTTGCCATGGAGAAGACCTAGCCAGCTCGCGCCCTTTGGTCACTGGGAGTTGGGGGAGAGATCCACCGGAGGTAGACAAGGCATGGCATTGGAGGCCGCGGTGCTCTCCCGCGCTGCTGCTGGTCTCTTCGGTCGCTGCGCCATGGCGGGGGCGGGGGCGGGGGGAGCTTGGAATGGTCTGTTCGGCGGCGGCGAAGGGCTGGCGGGCTTGGACGGCGGGGACTGGGACGCCGCCGTCGCGGCGGCGTGCTCGTCGATGCTGCTGCCTCAAGCTGCGTTCCAGGAGCTGGACATCTCCGCCGTCGCCGCCACTGCCGCTCCGCAGGAGGAGTCCGGAGGTCGCGGCGAGATGAGCGCGGCCGGCGTGGGTCAGGATGATGCTGCGCCCGTGGCGGCGGCGGCGACGGGGCGGAGGAAGCGGCGGCGGACGAGGATGGCCAAGAACTCGGAGGAGGTGGAGAGCCAGCGGATGACCCACATTGCCGTCGAGCGCAACCGCCGCAAGCAGATGAACGAGTACCTCGCCGCGCTCCGCTCCCTCATGCCGCCCTCCTACGCGCAAAGGGTACGTTAACAGCCGCCATTGACCTCCTCGACCCCTTTCCTCGGTTGTTCAAGGAGTAGTTGACACTGAAGTGTATGCTATTGCTGCGTACTACGTAGGGTGATCAGGCGTCCATCGTCGGAGGTGCGATCAACTTCGTCAAGGAGCTGGAGCAGTTGCTCCAGACGCTGGAGACGCACAGGCAGGCCCGGGAACGCGCGGCCGCCGTCGACGGCGGGGAAGCGCCGCCACCGCCGTTCGCCAACTTCTTCACCTTCCCGCAGTACTCGATGAGCGCCACCCCGGCACCGGCACCAGCACCTCCGGCGAACAACGACGAGGGCGCCGACGGCTGCGCCGAGGCGGAGGCGTCGGGATCAAAGCCGTCGGCGGTGGCGGACGTGGAGGTGACGATGGTGGAGAGCCACGCGAACCTGCGGATGCTGTCCCGGCGGCGGCCGAGGCAGCTGCTGCGGCTGCTGGTGGGGCTGCAGGGCCACCGGCTCACGGTGCTGCACCTCAACATGAGCAGCGCCGGCCACATGGTGCTCTACTCGCTCAGCCTCAAGGTACGTTACGTAGCACGCCTAGCTACACGTTCTGCCCGTACAAGTAAACAACTCCGGCTTTTGTGATATGCATGCATATGGCCCTCAGTCCAAGGGGGTTTACGGCAGCAGTGCCTCTATATCTGGTTAGCAATATCATACCGCTTCAGCCTGAAACAAGCTGGTGCCTAGGTTTCCGTGCTTTTTGTATTTTGCGTTGTCCTCGACAGCAAACGCCTCCAAATTCTCCCACCTGTTTACTCTAATGGACCTCAGCAAACCTAGCTAAAACGTCCGGCGTGTTTCCAGTTGGAATCGCTGTCTTAGTAGTAACTTAAATTACTGATGAGATCGTACGATGTGAGTCGGGGTTATAACCCTAGGCCTAGTAACAATAGCCTTTGTGATTCCTTCCTAAAAAAAATACAAAATCACTGAAGTGCATCATTCAAGCTAATTTAGCCCTAGGCGTAATCTGATGCTGGAAATATTTGCAGGTGGAGGACGATTGCCAACTTACCTCCGTGGACGAGATCGCCACCGCGGCCCATCAGATCGTCGAAAAGATCCAGGAAGAGCAAGAGCTTACTGCGGCGGCTTAGGGCAGCATCTCACCTCACATTATGCAATGCGCAACATTAGTTTATTCTAGCAAGTTAGGCGACTCGTGTGCAAACCAATAAAGTCCATCTCTGCAATGCAATGCTTAGTGCTGAATCCGTGGATGAAAAATAATGAATTTGTTCATAATGTGCATCGGTAGAGATGTTCCATGTAGAGTAGCTAGGCATGTGTTGCTTCTTCTGTTCAAAATGGGGGGCATGCAATATTGCAATGCAATGCAATGCTTCCAAACCGCTTGAAAGTTGAAGGCAGAGAACAATTCCATGCATGGCAGACATGACATATGGCATTCCCTGTGGCCTACCGTGCTCCATAGGATCGGGCACTGTTGTCCGCTGCTGTTCCTCAACCTCCTCGGTGCATCCTGTTCCCCCCGTGAAGCGCCATTCCCTGCCAAAACACCAACAGACACCATCTCCCTTTTAGTTCCAAACGAGTAGCACGATTGATTACATCCTTAATCGGTTATACTCCTGGATACTGGAGTAGTCTAGGAGTATTTTTCATGTCTTCAGCGTGCCATAGTAATGACAAGTCCGTTTCTGTAAAGAAGGCAGAGCCTTTTAGAGAAAGCAGCGTAGCACAGGGACACGAACACAGGCCAGGCAGGCATGCAGTACTGCAAAGCCAATCGATGGATGCCAAGACAAGCAGAAGAGAGGAGCTCCAAAACGCAGGACGCTTTACCTGTGCCGTGTCGTCCCATTGACCCAGGGAAAAAGATTCTAGAACAGGGCGCTTTACCGGAATAGCCTTTTACCATTTCCATGTAAGCATGATTGACCGAATAGTGGAGCGGGGGCTGCAGAGGCCGCCCCGTTTCTGCGAACAGCGATGCTCCGCACCCGGCCGATTCGACCGACGGGACAAAGCACATGCGCAGCTTTGCTCCCATGCAGCGTGTCGCGTTCCGGCCCCGAGATGTTCTGCTCCAATCGATGTAAACTCCGTCCAGGTAAAAGGGTGGCGTCTCCGTCTCGCCTGGGAGTAAAAAAATGTAGAAAGACAGCAGCTTCAGTGGTGACACCGTCCGTCCAAAGGTTTGAGTCAGGGAAAAAGATGTGCGACTGATATGAGGAGTGGTATTATTATTTACTGTGCGTGTTTCCTGGGGGGAAATAGTGGATGGATCATCATGGATATGCATCATCAGTGTATGCGTACACGTGTATGCCCAAGCATGTGACTATATGAGTGCCCGTGAAACTGACAGATCCGTGTGACAAGGGGGGCAACAGGGTAGTATATTCGTACGAATTCACCGACGATATATTATGAATTGTTCGTATGCTTAGAGGCCGCTTGTAGCAATAGCCAACAGGGACAAAAAAAGTAGAGCATCATGGCTTGAAACATGCCAAAACAGGTTGTACGCCAGGACAAAAATCGCTCTTAATTAACCAGTCTCAAAAGCAGACATGACATGCAGGATTCCTGTTAATTATTCATTGGTTAGTGGAACAACCATAGCTTAATGCAGTAGTGAATGTGGAGAACCAATCTCAACAGCCATGGCATAGATCACATCTTTGCAAGAGCTATAGTAAAAAGGAGCTAGAGATGGTGTGGACCTGTTCCAGGGCCTCATAACCTTAGTGTTCTCAGTTATGTGCTTAACCTTGATAGAACCTGTAACGCGGTATCAGGAAAATCATAATCAACTGTGAATTTAATAATACGCAGATTATAAATTCCCAATATGGTCATCTGACATAATACTTCCTGACTGACCAAATTTAGGACCACCTGTAAGTAGCAGCCTGTGACAGTTTAGCAAAGCAGTCCCAGTACAGCATACGGCTTTCTTTTCAAACTGACCACTCATAAGATAAATATGCAAGGATTTTACTTCTAAAAACCATTGGAAAAACAGCTACATGTAATGATGTCTTCAGGCTGTTGGAAACTTCTCATAAATAATTACCAGTTAACCAACACTTCTAAGCTCACAACATCATCACTAGAGCCCCTAATCAAAACAAGAATGATCGTGGTTTACCTTAAGACATAGGATGAGATATGCTTCACTTGCATATTCCACCACTCCATTAATCTTTGAGAATAAACTCAAGCCTGAAAGGAATCACTAGAGGAAGCAAAGGCCGTGTTCACAAATCACAGAAGGATACACAGCAACAACAGCTTCCGTGCCTTTGCCTCTATCAGATCTACTGTGTACTGAGTTATACACGCATGGAAACCTTGTTATCTCAACTTCCATGTAATGAAAAGGGATCATACATGTGAAAACATGTTGGAAGAGAAAGGTAAGAATACTAATGGAATTAAAAACATGAAATATAAGTTACAAGTACAAACCATGCCAACCGAATTGTACACATGTTACAGTTTAAAAGTGCATATGTTACCATCAACCAAGGTGTAGCCTGTGGACAACTGGAGATCAGCAGCTGCGACCCCCATCAAATAAAAGCAAACAACAAATAGACAACTTAACAGATACGCAATTTCATCTGTCTCGGCTCTTAATAAATAATTCCACTTGAAGAAAGAGACTAGGTATAGGAAAAGGGGAGACAATGATGGAGAAAGAGGGTGAATAAGGGGGCATAAAGTAAAGCATAAGCAGAGTTTTTCAGAAGTTGCCAATGGGAACAAAAGATGAACCGGCAGCAGCATCACAAAAAAAGACAACTTAAAATCTAAAATCCACTGTCGGTTGGTGTGATATTTTATCATGCAAGACAACTTCCTCTGTGCTTTAGCTCCAGAACAAACAACAATGATGTGCTTTGCTACGTCTATCAAGAAAGGAATTTTTAGGTACATGAATGGTGAATCATAACTCTAAAATTTAGCACTGAAGCTTCAGTATAATGAGATCTAATAGTAAACGAAGCACATGGTAAAATCTCAAATGTTGTAGTTTTCTTTTTACAAAATATCCTTAGATGTTTGATGACCAGAGCTTAGCATGCTTTCTCAAACAACATGTATGAATGTTTTTTTTTGCAGGGTAACATGTATGATTGTTGAGGTACAGCACCACTCCCGCTGCATCCTATGCGACCAGGAGCCGGAAACGATGAAGCACCTGCTGGTCACATGCCCCTTCTCGCGGCAAATTTGGCACGATGCCTTCACTTGGCTACACCTGACCTGTCGGCGGCCCGACCCGGTCCAGGACAGCTGCTTCAAGGACTGGTGGCGGCACGCCAAGCAAGCCACGCCACAACGAATGCGGAAAGGGCTTGCATCGGCGATCCACTTGACGGCCTGGATGATCTGGAAGGAACGGAACGCCTGCGTGTTCGACGGCGCGCAACCCTCCGCTACCCAGCTCATGGCAAGAATTAAAGATGAGGCGACGCTCTGGGTCAGGGCAGGCGCCACCGGCCTGGGACTGATCCTCCCGAGGACCTGGGACGTCCACTAATTTCTTACACTATGTCCCTGTAATTCTCCTGCTCGGAGAACTGTACTGCTAAACTCTCTTTCTGTTCAATGAAATGAAACGCAAAATCTTTGCGTTTTCTCGAAGAAAAAAATGTGTAATTTCGAGAAGATAATTATGAATTCTTGAGTTCTATATAACCGATAAAGTTACTGATACTTAGGTGAACAGATGGCCATTTTATTTCACAATTGATATTCACGAGTTCTCTGGTGTAAATGTGCAATATAGCTTGGAGAGCAAAGACATAGAAAAGACTTTTGATGCAGCAGCCTCATGCTTTGTCATAATCAAGATGATACTAAATATATTTTACCTACCAAATTCAAGAAAAAATTACTCCCTCCAATCCAAATTAATTGACGCAGCTTTAGTACAACTTTAATTAATTTGGATCGGAGGGAGTAGCATGTTTTCAACTCGTTTAAGCATGTGGAAACTTGTTCCTTACTGTGCACCTACCATATAATGCGATGACCAGTAGGCCTGGCGGAGGCAGGAACTATTTTAAGGTGTGGCGGAGGTACCTATTATATGCAACTCAGCTCAAATCTTCAAAGATGTACTATATATACTATATATACTAGGTATACATGGCAAATTAAAGGTACTTCACAAGCCATACCTTGCCAGATTGCTGGCTACGCCACTTCAACAGGAGAGAGATTACTGCTAGGAAAAAGAGCATAGATATAGAAAAAAAACACGCACCTAGCACCTTCATCGGCACAAAAATGGTTGTAATAAAAAAAACAGAAATTGGAGGTCATGTTATGTTTGCTTATTTCCATATTTATTCCAGAAACCATTAAAAACTTGATAACAGAGTAGGGATTGTCCCTGGTAGTTGAAGCAGGGCATGGCCGCATGGGACTAGTTTAATTAGCATTTTCCGTTATTAGGATTGTTTAGAGAAAATGGGACACATGAGTTGGCTGTAACGGAAAAATAAATGGCACAAGTACAAAATTTAGTTCAGCCAAGGAAATGAAACCATCAAGTTCAATTATAGCTTACAGTAATTCTAGTCAATGGTTTTGTCCATTCATTACTTTCTGAATTATTTTTCCATACCTTAGCAAAATATGAATTTAATAGCAACTAAATTCGAGTTTTAATCAAAGTAACATTGAATGGCACATACCCAACTAGTCATAAACTAAAAAGACTAAACCATGGCCAATCTTAGGGATGCTTACTATTAGGTGCCCAAGGGGGTCTTCAGATGAGGTGGACTGCATAGATATTTTTTGTTAGTTGTTACTTAGTTCTAATTTGGATTAAATCAACCCTATCCAAAAAGGCCCTAAATGTTTTAATAGTATCCAATATGCATTATGTTACCATGTACATGAACTTTGTAAACTATAGAGAAGTTTTCACATGTTCAAAGAAATACCAACACAAAAGAGAAGTGATGTATCTCAATCTGGTGAATCTTTCCTCCTTAACCACAGGAGCACACAACAGTACTCCTTCCGTCCCCACATAGGTGGCACAAAACTGAGTCAAAAACTCAATGCTTTCTAAGTTTGATCAAGCATATATACAAAAATATGAAGATAAAAAATACCAAATCAATATCAATATATCCACCGTTAGATATATCTTCATAATGTATCTATTCAATATTGTAGTTGTTAATAGTTTCCTCTATATATTTGGTCAAACTTAGAAATAGGTGACTTTTTAACTGAAAATATAGTATATGCCATCTATTTAGGGCTGGAGGGAGTATTGCATTTTCAAATTCATGTATATGCTGCCAACGGAAGTAGTTCACACGGAAACAACCATATGATAGATAAGCCTACAGCCTAATGAATGTCCAAATGCTTTATTACTATAGTGCAAGTTCTTATATGATACAAGCTCGATGATATACATTGTGCCATGACAAGCACATGCCTACCAATATCATCAGCAAGTGTTGGTCCCCTCCCCCCACCTATCCAACCATCAGCAGGTGTTGGTCTCCACAAGCTACAGTTTCTTGATTTTATTAGATTAGCACCATCCCCTTTTGGAAATAATAAAACATTGGCATAGTCTTATTTTATACAAGCTCAATCATCTCCACTGTTCCATGCTGAACACATGCCTACCAATAGCATCGGCAAGTGTTGCTTCCCCAAACTACAGATTGTTGATCCCCGCAAAGCATCAGCAAGTGTTGGTCTACCCAAACTACAGATTGTTGATTTTATTACATTCGCACCATCCCCTTTTGGAAATAATAAACATGGACGTAGTTCTTATTTTATACGAGCTCGGCCATCTCCACTGTTACATGCTGAAAATATGCCTACCAATAGCATCAGCAAGGGTTGCTTCCCCAAACTACAGATTATTGACCCCCCCCCCAAAGGCCCGCATCAGCAGGTGTTGGTCTCCCCAAACTACCGACTCTTGACTATTACATTTGCAGCATCCCCTTTTGGAAATAAAAAACATGGTCGTAAGCAATAGGACAAAATGTTGCAATAGTATTCAATACACATTATATTTGAAATGCATATAGACTTCATAAACTGTACGGAGGTTTTCACAAGTTCAAAGAAATACCAACATGTCTTTTTTTAGCTTTTATGCTCTTGGCTAGCACAGGATTTTGGTTCCCTTGCTTTGGAGGTTTCGCCTTGTAAGCTTTTCCAATTTCTTGGTGTTCTTCTAGTAAAAAAAAAACAATCACACTTCCTGGCACGTGTTTGAGCAAAAAACAAGCAATATCAACACATAAAAGTGAAAGGGCTGACAAGAGAAATTAGGTACCTCAATCTGGTGCACCTTCCCTCCTTAACCACAGGAGGAAACAACAGCATTGTGTTTTCAAGTTCATGCATATCCTGCCAACAAGAAGAACTCGCACACAAAAGCTGGTATACATTAATTCACTAGACATCCAAATAACAATGATGCAAAGTACTCCCTCTGTATCAGTGTCCAAAAACGTCTTATATTTTGACACGGAGGGAGTAGTTGTTATTTCTTAAGATACTCAGTTACTAGTGCAAGGTCTTATTTGGTATGTGCTCAATGATATCCACTGTTACAGACTGAATAAGGTCAGCCCCTCCTCCCCAAAGGACAAATTCTTACATTTGCACAACCCCCTTATGGAAACAATAAACATTGAAGCAGGCACTGGTCCACTCTTTGCAAGGTTGCTACATAAATATTACATGAAGAAGCCAACCTTCAGCTTCTTCCCCAAAATTCACTTGACCATAGCTTGAAGTTGACATTGTAATAAAGGAAACTTGGGCATGCAAGTTAACACGAGCACATCCACTCAAGAAATACTTATCACGCAATAATTACTCTGGTCAACTCACAGATTTCAGATGAGAATGAGATTTTCTCTCCGAGCCACTGCAGCTATCCGGTATAAATAATACCAAATCAAATATCAATATATCCACCGTCAGATATTACATAGTTTTTTTTTGAGGAATCATAGTGTATTTATTAAATATTGTAGTTATTAATAGTTTATTCCATATATTTGGTCAAACTTAGAAATAGTTAACTTTTAACTGAATTTATAAGCCATCTATTTAGAGATGGAGGGAGTATTGCATTTTCGAGTCCATGTATATGCTGCCACAAAAGTAGTTCACACCGAAACAACCATATGATAAATAAGCCTACAGCCTACCGAATGTCCAAATGTTTAATTACTAGTGCAGGTTCTTGTATGATACGAGCTCGGTGATCTACATTGTTCCATGCCAAGCACATGCCTACCAATATCATCAGCAAGTGTTGGTCCCCCCTTATCCAACCGTCAGCAGGTGTTAGCCTCCATAATGTATCTATTCAATGTTTTATTACATTAGCACCGTCCCCTTTTGGAAACAATAAAACATTGGCGTGATCTTATTTTATACAAGCTCGATCATCTCCACTGTTCCATGCTGAACACTGCCTATTTATAGCATCAGCAAGTGTTGGTCCCCAAATTACAGATTGTTGATCCCCCCAAAGCATCAGCAAGTGCTAGTCTCCCGAAACTACAGATTCTTGATTTTGTTACATTCGCACCATCCCCTTTTGGAAATAATAAACATGGACGTAGTTCTTATTTTATACGAGCTCGATCATCTCCACTGTTCCATGCTGAATACATGCCTACCAAAAGCATCACCAAGGGTTGCTTCCCTAAACCACAAAGTAATGTATTCAAGGTATTTCTTGCCATTTCAGTAGCATCAGCAACGGCTGCTTCATATGGTTTCCTCTTGCAGTCTACTAATAGCATAAACATGATAACTGTTCTTCTAATAAATAATTTCACACCTTTTGGCACGTGTTCGAGCAAAAAACAAGTAATACCAACACATAAAAGAGAAAGGGCTGACAAGAGAAATCAGGTACCTCATTCTGGTGCACCTTCCTCCTTGACCACAGGAGCAAACAACAGCATTGTGTTTTCAAGTTCACGCATATCCTGCCAACAACAAGAACTCGCACAGAAAGCTGGTATTACATTGGTTCACTAGACATCCAAATAACAATGATGCAAAGTAGTTGTTATTTCTTAAGATATTCAGTTACTAGTGCAAAGTCTTATTTGGTATGTGCTCAGTGATATCCACTGTTACAGACTGAATAAGGGCAGCCCCTCCTCCCCAAAGGACAGATTCTTACATTTGCACCACCCCCTTCTAGAAACAATATACATTGAAGCAGGCAGTGGTCCACTCTTTGCAAGATTGCAACATAAATATTACATGAACAAGCCAACCTTCAGCTTCTTCCCCAAAATTCACTTAACCAGAGCTTGATGTTGACATTGTGGTAAAGGAAACTTGGGCATGCAAGTTAACATGACCACATCCACTCAAGAAATACTTATCACGCGATAATTACTCTGGTCAACTCACAGATTTCAGAATTCAGATGAGATTTTCTCTCCGAGCCAGTGCTATCCCGTGTAAACTCTCTATTAACAGACACTGATACACTACCAGCTCCCGGCTTTGCTGAGGCTGTATCCTCTTGACAGTAACATTACACCAACTCACAGTGGCAGCACGTTGCCAGTGGAGCGCCCATTCCGTGAGAAGAACAATCCCCGACCACTGCTTGACATGGACCTGCCAATCTTGAACCCGCCTGTTTGACAAGAGGATGAAGATGTCCCTGCTGCCTCCTTTTCCTTCGCCCTGAAGATGCTCATCTGTCGACCACTCGGCAATTTGCGATTAGCCTGCAGAGCACCACCCTGACCTTCAGGCACAACCACAAGGAACAGCGGCGAGTCCATGGAGGCTGAGCGCCGTATTGGCTTGGGCGTCGCAGTTCCATTCTCCTCTGCTACAACTTGGGTGTCCTCACTTTGAGTGTCCGACGAGGCATCGGAATCCTCAGAACCCTCGGGCAGTGATTCCGACGGGGACATTTCGTCAAACACCTGGTGCTCTTCCACTTGGCGGCCCTCTGCCTCGGCATCAGTCGCCGCAGCCGGGAGGCTGGATGGCACGACGACGACGGAACGGCAAATCGGACAGCTGACGTGGGCGCGGAGCCAGGTGTCGATGCAGGGCGCGTGGAACGGGTGCGAGCAGCGCGGGAGGAGGCGGACGAGCTCGCCGTCGCTGAACTCACCGAGGCACACCGCGCAGTCCCCGCCGGCCCCCACGCCGCGGTACTCCTTGGTGGCTATGGACGCGATGGTGGCCTCGTCGAGCCCCACCGTGCGGATGTACCAGACGTGGTGCACCACCCCTCCGCCTCCGCCTCCCTCCTCGTCCCCTCCATCGCCGAACCCCTCGCCGTGTGGCAGCTGGGCGGCGGCCGCCCGGCGGCGGCGGCGCAGGGCGCGGCGGCGGCGGTAGAGGAGGAGCGTGGCGAGCCCGAGCGAGAGGAAGAGGAAGGCGGAGAGGAGGGAGACGGTGAGGAGGAGGCGTACGGGCAGGCGGCGGTCGACGGCGGCCGGGGCGAGCGGGAGCGGCGGCGGCGGGGGCGCGGCGTAGTCGGGGCAGTCGAGGCCGGGGCAGAGCGGGAGGCACTCGTACGCGCTGTCCGTGCAGTTGAGCGTGACGACGCCCGGGAGCGGGGGGCTCCACGACGTGTGGGGGGACATGGCTAGGCTAGGCTACCGCGGAGCGCGGATCGATCGGCGGCTGCGGCGGCTGCTGCTGCTGCGCGGGATCGGCGGCGCGCATCGGCGGGGCGGGGGAGATGAATGGAATGGCCCGCGTGCGCGGGCGGGCGGGCAGTGGTGTGTGTGGAGATGGAGACGTGGAGTGGATTGGTCGTCGTTGGGTTTGGTGAAGTTTGGCACCGGTTCAACTTGGGGTGGAGCTGGAGAGCACAGACAGCGAGTGGGAACACTTGGAACGCACAGAGACAAAGCGGTGTCTGTCGCTGACAGGTGGGTCGTGGAGACCGACAGAGTGATCCTGGCCCACGTGCCGGTGTGGTGGGTGATCTTGTCGCCGCGGTCCTTTTGTGCGCGTATCGCAGTACTGGGGTTGGAATTGGTGTACGCAAAGTCAAGAACGGTTGTAAAATAAGTGGAAGAAATACTCGGTCGTGCATGTACGTCTGGACTCCATGCTCTCCGATAATCGTAGCACGTCACAGCTTCCTGGCGCGGTATCCTAACCGTCTATTCGTGACCCAACGGCCGAGATTTCGCGGCGAGAGAGGCGAATGGATTTGCTTATATCCGGGTGCGGGCTTCACCGTGTATTGCTGGTTCCCAACGGAGAAGATCACTGCTATGTTTATTGTGGCAAGATACTAAATACAAACATGGGGCAATTTTGTAAGACTGCTCACAGGGAGAAGTAACATAGAGTAGTAATTTGCCGATGTTACTAGTCTAGGTTACTACCTCTATATTGGATAGTAACATATGAATGGTATCATGAAAGAGTTCATTTATTAGACTGCTCACAGTGGGGAGTAACATAGAGTAGTAACCTGTCGATGTTACCAGTCTATGTTACTACCTCCATAGTGGGTAGTAACATATTAGTGGTACTCCCTCACAGTTAAATTTACGTGCATTTCCACAATAAACAAGGTTTAGGGCACATTGCATTTATTTCTAGTAGCTAATTAGTACTCCGATATAAATTTTTATATGCATGCGTAGTGTGAATGCTATTTTTTAGCACATCTCACAACCAATAGATAACCACCTAGGTCCCAGAGAATTTCCAAACGCGCTTTCTAAACCGTGACTGAGGGAGTATCATGAAAGAGTTTATTTATTAGGCTATAGACTCATTATGTCTTGAAATGTGTGATGTTACAGTAACTATCTAGGTTACCACAAACCCCTCTCTCCTTATTAATTAGCTGCCACATAAGCAATCTTGTATTGAAATGTGTGATGTTACTAGTTAAGTTACTCTTAGAAGGTGTTTGGATACTCTCTAGTCATGTGACTAGTAGTAGTCAGACTAAAAGTTTTTAGTCAGGCCCTGTTTGGAAGGTGACTACTACTAGTCAGCATTAAATGTCTCAGTATTAAATTCTTCTCTCTCCCTTCCATTTCTCTCTCTTCTCTCCCTTGTGCAACAGCAACTACCGCTATACTCCCGCGCAAGGAAGGAAAGCAGCAAAGTCCTGTTCCTTTTCTTCCTCACGCCGGCAGCTCTCAATACCTTTTTTTCTCTCCTCACGCAAGCAACACAAGCACCAGACTATCCCTCACGAAATTGTCCCATAAGGAAATCAAAACTGTCCACACATAAGAAAACTAAAATTGTCCCATAACGTTACATGTTGGAAACGAAATAAATAACATCAGAAATTTCTCAACGCCTGTTGAACAAACCATCAGCAATCGTATCTCTCACTCGATTCATATCCACTGAATCTAGCTCCATTTCTTCACCCCTAGTGTTACGACGCCTCCTCCTCCTTGTTTCCTCAAGGAGAGGTTGATAACTCTCATCATTGTCACACCTATCGAATTCCTTGTCCGCCAAATGACTTTCACGAATAAAATTGTGCAAGGCCATGCATGCCACAATATTTTTTGTTTGCTTGCGTAGAGGATAACTTGGTACTTCGAAAAGAATCCTCCACTTATTTTTCAAGACTCCAAAATAACGCTCAATGACATTGCGTAGTCTAGAATGAGTATAATTGAAGTGCTCCTTTCTACTTTCTACTTTCCACTTAACAAGCTGTAGTTTCTACTTTCTACTTTCCACTTAACATACATTCATTCAAGCAAACACAACAATTGGACAAATATTGTACCTGGATATGCTGGTTCAGCATGCTGTCGTCTTCCTCTGCCTGAACATCTTCTTCAGCTGGTTCATCTTCTTCCTCAACATCTTCTACCATGATCGGTGCTGCCTGCCGCTGCCTGCTGCTGCCTGAGCAACTTGAACCAGCACCACCTCGTCCCGACGTCGCGACGACCTGCTTGGCACGACGATCTGGGGCCCTCACTGGGGGGAGACCTTGGCGAGGTGGACGACCCTGCCGCTGCGCCACGCCATCCGATCTGGTCCGCTGGAGGGGCACACCATGGCCGGCCGCACTCCCGGGATGAAAAAGGTGCGTGTACATGCCCATGTTGGGGTAGGAGGCGGCAACGGCGGAGTTGCCGTTGAGGTCGATGTTCTCCAACCCGATGGGAGTGCGGAGCCCCCCGGCCACCGAGCCGCGGCCGAGCGCCCTGCCACCGAGCCGCGCTCGAGCCCCCCTGCCACCAAGCCGCGGCCGGCGGATCCCCGGAGATGAGGGGGCATCATCCCCCACCTGTCCTCGTCGATGTGGTGCACCGCAGCACCGGAAGACGCCGTCTGCGAGAAGAAATCGAAGGGGAGTTCGCCATCGCCGTCCATGGTACGGACGCGGGAGCGCGGCGCGGCGGAGTGCTGCGGGCGCGACACGGCGGAGCGCTGCGGGCACGGCGGGAGTACGGACGCGGGAGCGGCGCGGCGGAGTGCGGCGGCGGCGGTGGAAAGGGAAGCGGCGGAGTGGAAAGGGGAGCGGCTGCCCCCTGCCTGCGTGCGAAGGGGATGGGGCGGCAGATGCGTCGCCCGCAACAGGATGGGCCCGCCAATTAATTAGAGGAGAGACTTTAGTCACTTTTAGTTGGGGGTGGGGTGACTAGGGACTAAACTAGTTTTAGTCACCCATTAGTCAGGGGTGTTTGGAGGTTTACTGACTAAAAGTGACTACTACTAGTCTCTAGTCTCTAGTCACTAGTGATCCAAACACCCTCTTATTGTGACTAGTCTTGGGCTATAGACTCATTATGCTTTGAAATGTGTGATGTTACAGTAACTAGCTAAGTTACCACAAACCCCTCTCTCCTCATTAATTAGCTGCCACATAAGCAATCTTATATTGAAATGTGTGATGTTACTACTCCCTCCTTCCATCTATATAGGGCCTAATGCGTTTTTCAAGACATCCTTTGATTATTAACAAGATTAATAATACATGACATGCATAATGTGAAAATTATATCATTGAAAACTCCTTTCACGTACGAATTTGACAATGTGCTTTGTGTAAGTTGCATGTCATATATTATTGCTCTAACATTTGGTCAAAGTTAGCCTCGAAAAACGTATTAGTCCCTATATAGATGGAAGGAGGGAGTAGTTAAGTTACTCCCATTGTGACTAGTCTAAGGCTAGCTTAGGTAGTAATTTAACACATCCCAAGACATCTCCAATGGTTGTAAGATAGTTATTGATAGACTTTGCCACATACTAGGATTTTTGATAATGTGTCATACAATAAACAAGGGAAGAACGGAAGGTTGTACTATATAGTAATATAGTCTAGGGATATGTGTATGTTACTAGTATATGTTACTCCATTGTGGCTAGTCTAAGTCCCAGTCAAGTACTTCGTTAAGTTTTAGTCGATATTATATCTATGAGATCTTACATTGAGATCTGTTAAAAAAATCAGTGTTTTCTTTTTCTCTCTTGTATGTAATGTCACTTGACAGACTTGGTTAAATTTCAGTCGACTGAGACGTAGACACACCCTTACGAGAAAATAGTCTTCTCGTAAAAGTTGGTGAGCTGAAGTTTCAGGAGACGAGCGCCACGAGCAACCACACCGCCACATCTCCACCTCATCCCCGCTCCGGCTAGTTGACGCGCAGCTCCGCTCCCCTGCTCGCGATGATGCGCCGCCCCATCTGACCGCGCCGCCGTACTGATGCCGTGCCACGTCGACAAGGTTCTTGTTGCAATGAGGGAACAATGATCACATGATGAGCATCATACATAGGATGACTCGCGACGCGGACGATCTTTTTAAAATATCAAATGGCCGACGTGTAGCACATTGCACGCCTCATACTTTTTTCTATAATTTGGTCAAATTTGATGAAATTTGACTTCGGATAAAACTTATATGTGGGGAAAAAGAAACGGGGAAAAGTAATTGGTTTCAATTCTCTTCTCTAAAGAACATTCACTAAACGGAAAGAAAAGCACAGTACACTCTTTAGTTTGACATTCACTAAACTTGACAGACTCATTGTTTCACTGATGAAAGGCCAGATGGAAGATCCAGAGGAGCTTCCAATTCATCATCATCTATTCAAACTAAAGAAGAGTATGTTCTCTCTGTTTAGGGTCTCTTTAATTCAAAGGATTTTTATAGGATTTTTAAAGGATTAGAATCCTTAGGAATTTTTTTTATATTAATCGTTTGATTCGTAGGATTGAATCGTGTAGGATTTTTTTTCCTAAGAATTCATTTATACTATATTTTACAGGAATTCTAACATCCACTTCAATCTCTTGAAAGAAACCCTTTGTTTTTCTCATGACACAATCAAACAAATTCAAATTCTATAGGGATCTAATGGACATGTCATTCCAATCCTACGTTTTCTCTATTCCTATGTTTTTTTAATCCTATAAATCAAAGAGGCCCTTAGTTTGTTAGTTCCTCTTTCTTTCCACTGAAGAAGCTGATATCTGGGGGAAAAGCCTTCTTAATCCACAAATTGCCACTTACCTCGTTCCTGTTCAGACTCGCCTCTTCCATTGAAGTATCCGAGTTGGAGCCAGAAACGAACACAGATTAATTCCGATTTCGTAGCGCCATATATACGATCGAAGAAGTGGAATCGCCTGGAGTTTGTGTCCGCCTCCTTATATCTCGGCGGCAGTTCTTCCCACTGGCGATGTCAATGGCGCGGTTAGGAGATAACCGTAAAAGGGGATCCTGTTGCATGCTTCCCGCCGGCAGCTGCAAGCGGCGGGCGACCTCCATCCCGACAAGCGGCTGGGCGTCCCTGCCCTGGGACATCGCCGACCTCATCTCCCTGCGGCTGCTCGCAGAGGACGTGACAGAATACATCAGGTTCCGCGCCGTGTGCTCGCCGTGGCGATCCTCAACGGCCAGCCCACGAGACGCGACCCTGCTGGACAAGCGCTTCAGCCCGCGCGGATGGGTCGCGCTCTGTGACGGCGACGGGGTGCCGGTGACAGCCGCGTGCAAGATCACCTTCTTCCACACATCCACCGGCCAGCGCCTCGCCGTCCGCCTGCCGGAGCTCCACCGCCAAAAGATTGTCGGCATCACCGACGGCCTCATCATCACGCTGGACAAGGACAGCTCCGTGGTGCGCGTGCTCCACCCCTTCACGCGTGTCATCGTCGAGCTCCCTCCCCTCGCCACCATATTCCACACCGAGATCAACAATTTCACATCACTGCTGAGCGCCGCTGTCTGCCGCGCCGACACATCCATCGCCGTTGTGGCATGGTTAACCAGCGCAGAGATGGTTATCTGTGCGCGCCAAGGCCACCCTAGCTGGGTGGTGATCCATCGAGACATCATGCTCCACAACACCCTGCCCTTCCAAGGCCGGCTGTACGGCACCATACCGGCATCAGGGCAGCTCGTTCAGCTCTACCCTCCAAATCCACGTGGGGCAGTTGTCGCTCATGTCCCGCGTGAGTTGGTTGACATATTCAGATCCTCCTACTTCCTCGTGGAGTCCGGGGGACGCATGCTTCTAGCCGTGCAACATCATCGAATGGGTTATGACATTTGCGCTGAGATGGAGTGGTGGCGATACTTCACCGTCACGCTATTTCAGGTGAACGTGCATGGTGGGGATCTCATTCCGGTGAACAGCCTTGGTGATGAGGCCTTGTTCCTAGGGAAAGACCGCTGCCTGTCGATCTCCACCATGAACCTCCCTTGCATCAGCGGCAACTCTGTTTACTCATATGTATCAAACAAGGATCCCGTTGTGTTGCATTCTCTAGGCAGTGGTTCTTCTGAGCACACAACAATGTACACAAAGGTGCATTATTCGAATAAGATGGTTCGTCCATCCGTGCGGCCTTTCACGCTTCCAGATCATCTTATGACATATTGTCATAATCTTCAATGGTAAGTATCACCGGTACCCTAACTTCCACTGTCCCAACCACTGTGCAACATGATTGGCTAATGTTATCTTTCTTTCTTGCTGTAGGACAAGGGGACTGATGCTTCATGAATATGCTGCCGTTCCTTCATATCTGAGTGATCTGCGAGAGAAAATACACGCACACGAATCTGATATCAGGTTCCCGTATATAGGGGACGTTGGCAAAAAGGCTAAGACCAAGCGTGTGCGTGCTGTTGTGAAGAAGAACCAGCCCCTCTGTGCTTAGCACCGCTGAGGGAACCATGGCAAGAGTTAAGGGTAAACAAAGCACCAACCGCACGTTAGGATCTGCAAATTCATTTCTCCACAGAGAAGTGGTGAAAGAATCATGGGGCTGCTTAATATTATTATTTTTTGGTCAGGTAGATGGGGGTTCCCCTATTAGAACAATGTTGTGCTGATGATATCATTGCAAGATTAATTAGAACAATGTTGTGCTGATGATATCATTGCAAGATTATCCATCTACCTGTTCTTTGAAATAAGATTATCCAAGCCGTTTGTCATTGCACACTTGCCTTATAGCTCTTCTATATGTCTATCCCGTCCCCTTTGTGTAGAAAGAAATCTATCATAGAATGTTTTTACATTTCTACTTACGCATCTCTGAATCAACTTGACTTGAAGAGCTTATAAGAAGCTTCAGAGTCCGGCAAACAAGAGAACCTACTAGGCTATTTCATGAGTAATTAATTTATGATAGGCTTGACCTAAATCCTGTTTCTGCCAAACCACAAATGATTTTGCAATTTGTATGCGTTTCATAACCTGCGGATTTGATACGAAATACTGCTCTTTTCTGTTTTTCCAGGTTCAATCCAAAGCTCCAAGATGGTTTGCTGGTGTTTAAGGTTTATTGTAATTACAGAGTCTTGGAGGTGCCTTATTTATACTCTCTTACTGGGCTGCCTTCGCACAAATCAGTAGTATATCTTTGTATGGCGCAGTTGGAATGTTTTGAAACTTTTATTTTCTTGGGAAGACATGAACTGAGCAAGCTTGTTAATTAAGATAAGATTGGTTGCCACAGTTTATGTATGACCATAGATGATGTGATACTTTGACATAACAAGTAAGGTAAGAGGAGAGCATACAGTATACATTTGAATGTGCTCATTAGAGTGGATGTTGTCCTAGAAACAATACACTTGGAAGTGGATTCCCTCGTCATTTCTAGAGACCTTAATTTTACCCATGAGTTTTCATGTTAACTCGGTATAGTAGGCAACGCTTGCTTCAAGTTTATACATCTTCATAGTTGTTTGAAGATGTTTTTGATAATATTTTCGATATCTATAAAAAATATTGGTAGCTGTGTTTTTTTAGGAGTCAGGAACTGCTGCCTTTTCCCTGTTTTTTCCTTCAACGCGTATTTTCTCGATAGAGTGGCATGGATACTTTTTTTTATAAAGGGTGAATTTTATTGGCTTGTAATGGAGCTCAAGAGGATACAAACACAATGGACACACATCTAGTCTCTGCATAGATAAGATGCACACAACAAACACCACACGTGCACACACACACAACAACACGACGCCAAATAGCAAAGTTATATAAGATGAGAAAAAAAAAACTCCAAGCGGTCAGATCCGCGATCAACAAACTACAACAATAACCATACCCGCAACAACCATCTCTTGACATCACATGGACAACGAGATTCTTCAACAACAACGCGTTCAGAAAGGGAACAACGCTCAAGCATGGCCGTTGGTTTTCACTTGAAGAATTAGAAGCACGGCCGTTGGTTTTCACTTGAAGAATTAGTCTGGACATATCCAAACAATGTCTTCAATAAGGTAACTATGTAAAGGAAACATCGCCATATCCGAGCAACATGGATACCCGAGCTTAGCACAAGTGCGCGTTATACCAAAAGTGTCATTCTACTCTCGGGTCCATGCACCTAGATGAACAGAAAATGTAAAAACTATTGTTTTTAAAAACAAAAACTGTTTTCTTGCCGGCAAACAAGAGTTTATGATAGAATGACATTCGCAAAGGTCCAAGGAAAAAAAGCCAGTGCTTAAAATGCTTTCAAAAATAGTAGTATTTTTTTTAAGCATATACTCCCTCAGTTTCTAAATATTTGTTTTTTTTAAGATTTCAACAAGTGACTACATACGAAGCAAAACGAGTGAATCTATGCTCTAAAATATGTCTATATACATCCGTATGTGGTAGTCCATTTAAAATCTCAAAAAGACAAATATTTAAAAACGGAGGAAGTATTTTTCTTTGTCTCTAGCATTACAGATGTTTTTTCTTCACAAAACTTTACACGCAGTCGAAACACTCGTCAATGTTTGTCACAAACAACTCAGATTATTTTGAACATTTTTTACTTTTCTTGCTAATTTACTGTTTTTCTTTGGGCATTTTGCATTATTTTGCAGAAACTCGCTGTAGAAGTAGAACTAATCCCAACACACGTGTACGTAGTAGATAAGATTTGTTTTCGCGTCAAAAACAGATAAGATTTGTTTCTACTCACACTGCAATGTTGGTCCCACGTACGCTAGCAATTTAATGCTGACTCGGACCCTCACATGATTAAGCACTGCTACCAACCACACCACACTACTCCTACATTTCTCACGCGCAAATCGTCTCCTGGTTCCTTTCTTTCTTCCCCTCCGTCCACTCATAGCTTCTGCTCTTCGGGTCGACCCTCCAAAATCCATGGCGACGCTCGCCGTGCCGCCTACCGCCGTCGCCCTGCCCGCCCAGGAAGACCCACGGTACGGCCACCTTATTTTTTCCCTCTGTTTCTTCTCAATTCATGGTTGATTGGGGGATGCAATTTGATGCCCCCTTTTTTCCTGATTCGTGCGATGTTCCTCCTCCGGTGCAGCACCGGCGAGAAGCCATCTGCCGACGACTCTGCTGCGGATCCGAGCGATATCGACTCCGGGTACGTCTACTCCTGTCAAGACTTCGGGTATTTTGTGCGCTGGGCCAAGTCAACCCGTGGATTTTGTGTAAATTTTGGTTTTGATCTCTGTTGATAGGTGGGTTTTCCTCGGGAAGTCTGATGTGGTTCCGGCGGATCAGGCCGCGGCCGCCGTCGACGCCGCGGGCCGCCGACGCCTCGGCTTCTCGCCACTGCCGATGTTGCCTATCTGGTGGGGATTTACGGGTTCAGTGCCACATACTGTACCTCTGTAATCTGTGCGGCTCCTGTGGGATGAATCGCTAGTTCGCGACTGACCATCCCCTTCTCTCATGCTCTTTTTCGCAGGGTGCAGATGGTGCTCGGAGGCGTAGTCTACACGGCCGTGCCGTTCTACAAGAGGGCCAGGCAGATCGAAGGTACATACATACACTCCAATACTGCTATTTCGTCCCGATTTTGATCAACTACCAATCCTGTAGACAGCTTAGAACGGAAACTCTGATATTCGCAACACAAGAACGATAGATAGGCATTGAAAGAGGGATGGATTTCAGATACCAACTCACCAATCCGGATAAAAGTTCTTGGGATCGAACTAATTCTGCAAAGTAGCTAGGGTTCTAAGCTAGACCACACCTGATATTGATCCTGCAAAGTCATATTCTTCAGTCGATAGATGGTTCAGACTTTCAGAGTCCTGACATTAATCCTGCAAGGTCCATGTGTTCATGAATAGATTATTTTCACATTGACATTTGAAATCAAGCTCTTGCTGAAATCATTGATTTGTAATATTAGACAAGGCGATCGAAAACGTGGAAACTGCTTTGGACGTTTTGGAGCGAGCCTCCGAGGTGACGGAGAAGTTCGCTGCTAATGTGGCCAATTCCCTACCGGAGGATGGGTCCCTGCACAAGTTGGCCGAGGAGCTTGAGTACATTGCGGAGGAAGTCGATAAGGATGCACACAAGGCTGAAGTCATGATTAAGAAGGTTCGTGGTGACTTATTCATTTCCTGCTTGATGATGTCCTTGCTTACGTTATATACACATTTTAAGGATAATAAACAAGTATACATGATGTTCTTGCTTACATTGTATACATACATTTGAAGGATAATAAACAAGTATGCACATTCAAAAAAATAATAATAAACAAGTATACATGTGTGAACATTGAATTTTAGTGAAAGCTACTCATAGGAGTAGCATATATGAAACTATACAATAGCAATTTCCGACCAATTCAGACTATTCCTGGCTTTAAGTTAGCTGTTGCTTGTAAGGAACCAAGGAATTATTCAATAACATTTCTCCAGTTCTGCTGCTACTGCAAACAAAAGCATTGGAAGACTTTGGGATGGGGAAAGCATGTGCTTACTTGGTAGTGAAAATAGACTGTTTCTATGGTTTCTCTCCAAACACGCTTTTGATAGCTCAATTTCGTATATTCTGCAGACATGCAGCTAAAATCGAATTGTACTGTCATTTCATCCTGTTAAAGACTGTTTCTTCTCTACCGTCCCTAGTACCATGCATTACGAAACTTCCCTGTTGACCCTCTAGTCGTTGCAGATTGAAGCGCTCAGCGACAAGATTGACGCCGCAGTGGAGCCTGTCATCGAAAACCTCGAGGAGGAGTTCAAGCCAAACCCAGCATCCCACGCAGGATCAGACGCCCAGAAATGACCGTTCACATAAATCGGAGGAAAACACGTCCCAAAGTGTCCCCTGTTGTACATATGTTGCTGTTTCTTCTTTCCTTCTTTCTAAGTGCCAACTTGTAAATATGTTCGTTGTGCCCTATGAACTAGAAGGACCCCATGGTTACAGTAAGAAATGGTGGTGGTGTGCTTGGTGCCCGGATCTGAAGCACCTTGTAATCATGATAATACTAAGAACACTGCATCTGAAGAATGGATGTGTATGTGTGTTGCACTATATTTCCACCCAGTACATTCTGCGGTTACGTGCCTCGCTAGTACTGAGTACTGTACTCTATAGAGTACGCTGAGGGCATACATCATAATTGTATGGCAGGTGCACCTACTCAGGCGAAGTGTTCCGAGGGATGGTAATTGTATGGCCGCTAAGTAGGCCCGTGCCTTGTTGGTTGGCTTCAGACCGCTGGCCAAACGAATGTCCACCCTTCTTATTACTACTAGCAGCCTTAGTGGTGTTTGGTTCTGTAGTAGCAGCCTTAGTGGTGTTTAGTTTTGTAGTCCTAGAATTTTTTATAGTCTCAACTAAAAAGTCTCTAGTCTCTAAAAAATCCCTCCCTGTTTGTTTTTAAAAAGGGGTTTAATAAATAACATCACACATTTCAAT